ATATGGCTGACCTCAGTTCGATCACCCCAACACCCCATATGGCCCTCAAGGCTCTGCCAGAAGTGACCCCTGAGCCTGGAGTAAGCCCTGAGCACTGCCAGGTATAGCCCCCAAGCTCCCAAAATAAAAATAAGTGAAGTGGTATTTACGCTTTAAGTACAATGTTACTGCACCACGTCCACCACCCATGGGCCAGTGTCCCCTCATCACTGTCCTGAAGTCCCTTCCCCTCCCTCTCCCCTCCCCCACACCCTCCCACCCTGCTTGGGTAAGCTCAGTTCTACTGGCAGAGATTCAGGCTTCTAACAACTGACATTAGAGACCTACCAGATGGTCTCCAAATTGACTCCCTTGAAAAACTTTTGGTCTAACCTCCTAGAATTAAGGGAAAGTTTATAAGAACCTGGTGTTACACACTTATACATTGTACTTCACTGTCACTGTCACTGTCCTCCCGTTGTTCATTGATTTGCTTGAGCGGGCCCAGTAACGCCTCCATTGTGACTTTTGTTACTGTGTTTGGCACATCGAATACATCACGGGGAGCTTGCCAGGCTTTGCCGTGCAGGCGAGATACTCTCAGTAGCTTGCCAGGCTCTCCAAGAGTGGTGGAGGAATCAAACCTGGGTCGGCCAGGTTGGCCGTGTGCAAGGCAAATGCACTACCCGCTGTGCTGTTGCTCCAACCCACATTGTACTTAATGCAAAGATAATTAGTGACATCTTGTTTGTAGTAACAGGGAAAGGAGAAGGGCAGAGACAGAGGCGAGAGAGAAATGTTCACTAATGGGAAAATTGCTGAATCGATGGGACCAGTGAAATATGTGAAATACTCAGAGTACTGGGTCAGCAGTCCAAGAATAGCCATTCAAGCGGCTGGAGTGATAGCACAGCTGGTAGGGCGTTTGCCCTGCAGGTGACCAACCCAGGTTCGATTCCCAGCATCCCATATGGTCCCCCGAGCACCGCCAGGAATAATTCCTGAGTGCAGAGCCAGGAGTAACCCCGGCGCATCACTGGGTGTGACCCAAAAAGAATAGCCATTCAAGAATCACTTTGACTCTAAAAATGAGGGGGTTGCCCAAGGGAGAAGGGGAGGGAGAGAGACCGATCTTGGACAGGGTACGAGAACTTTGGGGTGGCTGTGGTGAGGCTTGTTCACATATCAAGGGGCGAGACCAGGCCCCCAGCACTTGTTCCTGACTCTCCCCACAGGTCAGTGCCTGCTTCCCTGCGCTGGCCCTCAAGTCACTGCCTCCCAGCGAGCGAGGCCCTCCCTCCCAGCCCAGCCTTCCTTTCTTCCCGAAATTCCTCACCCTGCCGTTCCGCTTCCCTGGAGCTGTGACCATTCTTGCCTCTCCCACAGTGGTCCCATGTCCCCGTGAGCATTCTCTGTTCTGCCTCACAGGCTGGAGAAGTCAGGGTGGGAGTCATGAACTACCCAGCCCCAGAGGAAACAGGCTGACACACTGGGCTCATCCCCACGCCCCAGAGTGTGGGAGCAACAGTCAGGCTGGCAGGGGGCTGGCGGGGGAGAGAAAGCATCTAGTTTAGCCCTGGGCGGCTGAGTGCAGGCTTTCGCATGCAGGTGACTGGGTTAAATTCCCAGCATCACATGAGCTGCTGAGCACTGAGCTGGGAGTAGCCCTTGAGCACCAGTGGACCCCCCCAAACGAAAATACAAAAACATAATAAAATGAGGCGAAGGGGAGCATGAGGGATTTCTTAATGGCAAAGGGAGAAAGAAGTCTGCAAGTCGGAGGCTATTAATCCAATCCCTGGAATCGCCCCAATGTACCATGCACTGTCCCTGTGACTCTACTGTCTGGGACCCCAGGTACCACAGCAGAGTGTGTGGCATCTGGGATACGGCAGGCAGGGGTACATGAGCACCAAAACCAGATATGCGAGTCCCAGTGAGCACAATCAAGTGTATGTGTGGTGTGTGTGTGTGTGTGTGCACATGCAAACCTCACCCACCCCCGCTAAAACACTGCAACAATCACAACAGTCAAAGGAAGGGAAGGGAAGGGAAGGGAAGGGAAGGGAAGGGAAGGGAAGGGAAGGGAAGGGAAGGGAAGGGAAGGGAGGAGATGGGGTGGAAACGGGGTCCTGGTTGTGACTTGGGCAGATCTGGGTTGCTGGACTGTGTAGGTGTGACATCTATTGGGGAACAAAAGCCACATGGTGAAAAATGCACTCGTTCATTCCACTTCCCTCAGGCAGGTGAAAAACACAGGTTTTCAGCCTCAAGAGTTGGTATTCTGTCCCCACTGGCAGGAAACACAGTTTGGTCCAACCCCCATGGAGAGCAAAATGGCAGCATCCCACAAATCGCTGGATCAGTCAAGCAATTCCGCTCCAGTGCAGAGGCCCAGGGACAGCTCTGTGCTGTGGGCAGAGACACTTGTGTTCCAGAATGCTTGACTAATGTTGTTTCTAGTCGGAAAAATAAATAGCAAACCACTCAAAAATAGCAACCACCGCCAGTATTCACATGTCCCTAGGATGGAAGGCAGCAAAGGAAATGAATCAGAGTGACATGTGCATCCACATACACCATTCTCACAAACACGATCACCATCACGATCATCCTGTTGTTTGTCGATTTCCTCGAGCAGGCACCAGTAACGTCTCCTTCTTCCTAGCCCTGAGATTTTAAAAGAGCCATTTCAATGCTCTTTCAGGATTAGGAGGATGAGACCCATCATTGTTACTGGTATTTGACATATTGAGTACGACACGGGAAGTTTGCCAGACTCTGCCATGCGGGCAGGATACTTTTGGTAGCTTGCCAGGTTCTCCAAAGAAAAAAAAATAAGATAATAAGATGTCACGCAGCCGCAAATGCAGCCGCGCGCTTCCGGGAGCTGGGTTTTATAGTCTCTGTGTCTTGGCCATTGATGGAACCAACCTGGCACTGGCGGCAGCTGGTAGATGTGACGCCTACTTACTGGAAGATGGGGGGGTCTGGTTGGAGAAGGCCCAGTCCCAATCCGAGTAGGCTTGGAGACCTTGACCCTGGGACCCGCATGCCTGGTTCCTCTGCCAGTTCTTTCATGCATGAGGCCCGTCCGGACGTGTGGAGAGTGGTCCCAGCATGGCCGTGGCTGGCTCCGGAGGTCCTCAGCTGCTGGGGCTCTGCTCAGGGTGGGGAGGGTGGAGAGAAACTCAACCCTCCCCCCTCCAAGGGGCCCTGGTGTGGACAGCCAGGCGCAGGGGCAGGAGACTCTGTCACAAACACATTGTACCAAAAAAGGCTGAACACAAATAGATTCCTGTCACCATTTACTGAAAGTTTGTTTGCTTATTTGTTTGTTTGTTTGTTTTAGTGAAACACCATAAGGTATAGTTGTAGATTTACGAACTTTCGTGCTTGGGTTTCAGTTTTACAATGATCAAGTACCCATCCCTCCACCAGTGCCCATTCTCCACCACCAATGATCCCAGTAGCCCTCCCACCCCTGACCCCATCCCCCAAACCCCACCCCACCTCTGTGGCAGGGCATTCCCTTTTGCTCACTCTTTCCTTTAGGGTGTTGTAGTTTGCAATAGAGGTATTGAATGGCCATCGTGTTCGATTTATAGTCTCCTTTCAGCACGCATCTCAAATCCCGAGCGAGTCCTCCAAACATCCTTTACTTGGTGTTCCCTTCTCTATCTGAGCTGCCTTTTCTACCAGCATGTGCTGCCAGCTTCCAACCCATGGAGCAGACCTCCTGGTACTTATCTCATCTATACTTGGGTGTTCGACTCCTGTTACTTTATATTCCCCAGATGAATGCAGTCTTTCTATGTCTGTCCCTCTCTTTCTGGCTCATTTCACTTAGCATGATATTTTCCATGTAGAACCACTTGTATGTAAATTTCATGACTTCATCTTTTGAAACAGCTGCATAGTATTCCATTGTGTAGATGGACCAAAGTTTCTTTAACCAATCACCTGTTTTCAGGTACTTGGGTTTTTTCCAAATTTCGGCTATTGTGAATAGTGCAACAATGAACATAGAAGTGCAGATGTCATTTCAACTGTACTCTTTTGCCTCTCTGGGATATATTCCCAGGAGTGGTATTGCTGGGTCAAATGGGAGCTCAATTTCTAATTTTTTGAGACTCGTCCATACTGTTTTCCAAAAGGGCTGAACCAGTCGGCATTCCCACCAGCAGTGAAGGAGGGTCCCTTTCTCCCAAAAGTTTTCAAATACTCAAAAAAAATTAATTAAATGAAACACTGCTTGGAGATCATATGCACTAATTAAAATACAAATAAATGAGAGGGAATAATAAACAGAATCCATCCAGTGGCAACAGCAGGGGTGGGAGAAAAGGGAGTGTTCTAAGAGGAGAATTTTGCACAACTTACTGCTTTTTTGTGAGGTTCTATGTCCTGAGGTAGGTACTTACCCTGATCCTGGGCTATCGTGATCCTAAGAAGGGTTTTTTTTCTTTAAGCCATTTTATCTGACTTAACATTTCACATGACAAAACATTTCTTAACAACTCTCAAACGGACAAATAATTCCTTCCGAAACACACTTATCACATAAAGGAAAGTGGGAAAGCATCGCGAGTAGAATCAGATACTGCCTCTACTCCCAATTTTGTAAAGACAGGACAAATCAAAATAAAGCCTGTGTACCTAGTGTTTTCAGAGGGAGCTAGGGCTCCAGGGCGAGGGCGAGGGCGTGCTGGCTGTTGAGGTCATTCATTGAGTTCCTCCCACGTGGAGGCTTTGCCTGTAATCACTCGCTCCTCGGAGACAGGTATACTTGTCATCCCCATTCTCCGGAGGAACCCGTGCACAGAGGCAGCAGTATGTTGTCTGCAGTGGGCGCTGGGCTTGGAGGGGGCCCTGTGGCTGGCTCTCCCAGTCTCGGCTGGCAGCGCCGAGGCTGAGAGCTTGCCTAGCAGCTGGGAGCGCTGGTATTGGGGGTGTCTGCTCCGGGGCTGGACCACCCTCGATACCCTCAGAGGCTCACCAGCATCTCTCTTCTTTTTCAGCTCACAGCCCCACATTTCCCTGTGGTGGTGAAGCTGGGACATGCGCATGCCGGCATGGGAAAGGTAAGAGACGCCTTTTTTCACCCCTCCCCGGCCCCCTGTCCCCACAGCACCCCCATATCCCTTCTCACCCACCCTCCAGAACAGTGTGTTTGAGAAGTCCAGAGGAACCTCGTCACCCCCACAGCTCACCTTCCACCAACCTCCTGGGATGTCTCTCTAGCTCAGCACAGCCTGCAGGTGTGACCAGAGCGGTTGCTCCCTCATTTGCTCCTTGTTCCCGCTGTCCTGGCTTAAGGACGGCCCGGTGGCGGACTAGGGCTGGTGTTTGATCCCCCCGCCGTCAACCCCACCCCCCAGCTCCGGCTCCACTCAAAGCTCAGTCTTACTCTCCATCACCCGACTACACCCCGCAGAAGACCCCCGGGGCTCGTGAAGGAAGGCCCTGGAGTTTGTCCCTCCTGCCCACCAGAACCACCACACACGCAGGCATCTGGTGGCTGCGCTGACTCTGCATTGCCAGAGCAGCAAAGGCTCGTGTTCAGGGCAGAAAGGTCCACTGGATAGAAGACGGTCAGTTGGGTCTAGCTCTGTGGAAGTGAGGAGTCTTTGTCGGTTGATTTTAGCAGCGAGGTCACCAGTGCTCGGCCTCTCTCCCAGTTTCATCCGTCTCTATTTGGAGGTCTTCCTACCGATGTTGGTAAACCATGAGGGGCCCTTCCTGGTCCTTTGGGAAGAAAGTCATGCCCGGCACTGACCCCCATTTCTTTCAGTTTCTCTGCATCTGGTCGAGGGAGTGACTCCCCTCAGCCTTGCTGAGGTCCTGTGCCCATCCTAGCAGCAGGTGTGAGGCCCCATTCACCCCCCATGAACCATATGCATCAGGAAAGGGAGACTTATTCCTTGTAAGGGGGTGGAAGTGGAAAAAGAGGCGCAGAGGACCCACAGACCCATAAAGCCCCCGGCTCAGTGAGAACCAAGGAGTATCTGTGTGTCTCAGCCTTGCCATCCCTGGTTGCCGGAGGCCCAGTCAGGAGTCCTCAGTGAAGGAGATCAGACTCCCGCAAAAACCTCAAAGCTTCTAGAAGGTTGGGTGTAGCCATCAATGCTCCTGTACCCCAATCTTTGCATCCCCCCGTTAGGCCTTTGACATCAGGTCTCTCACCTAAGACCCTTCCACTCTGGCAATGGATGCGTTGGCCAGGCAGGACTGGGCGGGAACCATAGCTCTGACATCGGTACCAACCGGGGGAGTAAATGTTAATCACTCAGGGCCTCCTCCCTGTTGGATGACAGCCATTCTGACGACTGTCTTTAAAGGAAAGCCCTCCCTCCATATCGCTACTCCCTAGAAGGCACAGTGAGGCTGAGAGGGTCCTCGCATGTTTCCTACTGCTATGCCCCACAGCTTCGAATGTCCCCTGGCCTCAGCACAGCAGCTCCTCACTTGGTGGGCTGAGAGGACACATGCATTCCTCCTCAGGGACCCTGTCTGTCAGCATGGTCTTTCTCCCCACCTTCCCTCACCCCTACAGCTGCCACAGCCTCCTCCCTCTGGTCCCCGGTGACCCTCAATTGTAAGGCTGATAACTTCCTTTCCACACCTAGCCCTGCTCTCTCTCTCTCTCTCTCTCTCTCTCTCTCTCTCTCTCTCTCTCTCTCTCTCTCTCTCTCTCTCTCACACACACACACACACACACACTGAGAGTGGTTAGCGGGTCTCTCGGTTCTGGACCTCTCTCTCCAAATGCTGTGGTCTATGCCCACACACACTCCCCTCCTCTCTCTGGTCATCCCCTCACTGTCTAGTCTAAGGATACTTCTTCCGGCACTATCTTCATTGGGTCCACCCCGGTGAGCAGGTTCACAGAAATACGAGCTGCCCTGTAGCCTCAGTGACAACTGATACACTAACAGGCCCCCAGTGGCTCTTCCTGTTGGTGGCATCAGACACTCCTCCAAATCCTCACCCTATCTCCCCCGGAAACCTTCAATGCTGCCATCCCCAACTATGCCCACTGTCTTCCCAGTAGCCTCCTCAGCTTTGTCCTTCTTCTCTTGTGCCACATCGACAGCAGGAAATGCCAGGCCTTCCAGCCTCTCCAAACATAATCGGGGCTTCATGCTGTTTCCTCCCGATCCAGATGACCCTCTCACTTTGTCCACAGCCCTTTGCTGATATTTCTCAAGTCTGTCCTTGGCTTGCCACCCGCTGTCACCATCTCAGACAATCCTAGTAATGTTCAAGGCTTCCCAAGAATTAAGTTCTGTTTTCTAAAGCTTAAATGAATCCCAGACAGGAAGCGCAAGGAAAAAAAAAAAAGGAAAAATCTACTGAAAGAGACTGAGGCAATGTTTGGAGGGTGGAGGCACATGTCTGAGTAGTTCAGGCCTGAAAAGAGTTCCCAGAACATGGCAAGGAGGACACAGCTCCAAGGATGAAAAAAAAGAAAGAAAGAAAAAAAGGAGTCCCTGGTCGGAATAAACTGAGGTTAGCGAAAAATGCTGAGATCAAAGGAAAAGAGCTTTTCTCTTCTGTTTGGAATGAGAAAACCAGCCGATGGTCTGGACACGCCTACGGGGCAGATGATGTCATGTCCTGAGCCGGAGGGAGACAAAGCTGGTACCTCGAAGGGCACTGCTGCCTTCTCTGGAGAGTCTGTGGGATAAACCGACTCAGAGTGCGGGAAAGCCGCTAGGGCCTGGGCACAGGGTCCCTGACCTGTCCGCCCTTCTAGTCAGGATCTTTCTTCCTATGTGTGGCCTGGTGCCAAGAACTGGAGTAGGGGCGGGGGGGGGGGGGGAGTAAAGAGGACTGGGGAGACAGACATTTAAGTGAGAGTGTGAGGGGATTCTGGGGCTTGTGTCGGGAACATGAGGGTTGTAGGAAGTAGCTAAATTCCACTCAGGATGGAAAGAAGGATAGCAGTGTCATGACAGGGAAACTCTGTATGTGTTGGGGTTGTGGGGGAGGTGGCAGGGCGAGAGGGTGGTCTGATGGACCTGGAGATAAAGGATTTCTATATACCTCAAGGGCAAGAAAGCAAGTGCTACCCTCTAACAGGAAGCCAGAATATGTCAGAAGGTCACTGTCACTGTCCTCCCATTGTTCGTAGATTTGCTTGGGTCCAGTAACATTGTGAGTTTTGTTACTGTGTTTGTCATATCAAATACGTCACAGGTAGCTTGCCAGGCTTTGCCGTGATGGTGAGATACTCTTGGTAGCTTGCTGGGCTCTCCGAGAGGGGCAGAGGAATTGAGCTCAGGTCGGCCATGTCTGCTGCGTGCAAGGCAAACGCCCTACCTGCTGTGCTATCGCTCAAGCCCATGTTAGAAGGTACAGAGATGAAACAGCAGTGAAAACTGCAATCTGGAGAGGAATCGTGGATGGGGAGGTGGTGGTCCTGGAGCACCCATGAGTTCCTTGAAAATCAAGGGCTACCACCAGGAGTGACCCCTGAGCTCAGATCCAAGAGTGATCCCTAAGCACTGCCGGGTGTGCCCCCACTAAAAAATGAAATCGGGGGGTATAGCAGTGGTTCTTATGGAGGGAGGAAAGATGTGCTAACCAGTGGTTAGTTTATCTGATTGGCAGAGTGGGGAGATGCTCCTCGCACTCACTGATGGCCAAGGATGCTACTGAGCCTGCTATGGCGCCACACATACACACACACACACACACACACACACACACACACACACACACAACATGCTGGTATTGCCTCCTCCAAACACACTGACACAGCCCCCCAAAACATTCACACTGACACAACCCCCCAGATGTTCACACTGGCCCAACCCCCCCAACATTCACACTGACACAGCACCCCCCCAAGACTCACACTTACACAGCAGCCCACAAAGATTCACACAGCCTAAACTGTCAGGAATGCAGAGGCTGAGAATCCCGGAAAAATGAGCTTCCCTTCCTGTGCTGACAGTTCCACCGGAGTGGACAGCAAAGGAAGCAGAGGTCATTCCAGAGTTCATTGTGTTTCCTCTATCCCAAGGCATTACAATTCTTCAAATGCTAAGGATTATTTTGGTCCAACAGATTTGGGAAACTCCCTTTTTTAGCCCTCAGCTTCCCAGGGTCATAAACGTAATCATATGTGTGTGTGTGTGTGTGTGTGTGTGTGTGTGTGTGTGCGCGCGCGCGTGTGTGTGTGTTTGTGTATGAGAGAGACAAGAATATTTTTCAAAGTTTGCAGCATTTTCCAGAATTTCATTCCCCCAGAAATCTTTGACATTTTTTTTCTTTGTTTGTATTTTGGGCCACATCTGCCTATGCTCAGGGTTTACTCCTGGTTCTAAGCTCAGGAATCAGTCCTAGTGGGCTCAGGGGACCATGTGTGGTGCCTTAGATCAAACCCAGGTCAGCCGTGTGCAATATAAGTCTCCTATCCACTGTCTCTGGCCCTCCTTTGGTCATTTTTACTCTTGATGCTTGTCGTTTTATTTATCTGTTGCAACTCTTTACATATTGAGGACACTAATCTTTAGTGATTTTTTCAACTCTTATTCTCCATCTGAGAGTTGTATCCTTTTTCCCCTTAAAAAATTCTTCTATTCTGGGCTGGAGCGATAGCACAGCGGGTAGGGCGTCCGCCTTACAAGCGGCCAACATGGCCGACCCGAGTTCGATTCCTCCGCCCCTCTCGGAGAGCCCGGCAAGCTACTGAGAGTATTCGATATGCCAGACACAGTAACAACAAAGTCTCCAATGGAGACGTTACTGGGCCCGCTCGAGCAAATCGACGATCAACGGGGGGGCCTTTACCTTTTTATTCTTCACCATAATTCACAGAGTTGTTCATAATAGAGTTGTTTTAGGCATATAAAGTTCCCACACCAATACCACCAGTGTCCTCAGATTCCTTCCCTATCCCCAGCCTGCCCCCTTGGCAGGCATATGACAAATGTATTTCATATTACTTTTTCTAAAAATACTTAGTGGAATGGAATATGAATATCAGAAAATAAATCGATAAATGTCACTTTGTGATGACTGCTAAGTCATTTCAACCAATATCAATAGTATATTAATTTATTATTGAAAGTGT